CTAGTATGTATTATGTCTAACCCATGTGCTATTTGTTGCATTAGCTGAAGCTTTTTCAGTGTTTTGGTACCCAAAATTCTTTCTTGTGATATTTCAGCTTTGGATGTTGTAGAGAACAGACTGCCATGGCCACAGCTGTCTTTGTGGACTGAAGTGCAAGACTATGCTAGGCAGTATTTCCTTCAGAATCTTCTGGAAAACACAATAAATTCACTTATGGACGTGCATTTACCTTCTTCAGCCCTACAAATGCCATATACTAATGTCTACTGCCAAATTTTTATTTACATTTTGGGTAGAGCAGAAATGTCCTATCTTCAAAATTATTGTGGGCACCTGGTGCTTCTCTACTTCCCAAAAATGTTTGTTATTGTCACTCTTAGTAAATTTTACTATGTAAGATTTTTTATGAGACTGATCAGGATGTTTTCTTGGTCTTCACCATTTTATTTACAGTTTATTACTTTCCAGTAGGCAACTCATTTCATTCAAGGCTCTTTCCCACCTTTCTCACCCAGCCTCCTTAAAAGACAGAGCTCTGCTTCTCTTCTGCCCTCAAATATTTAAGTACAGCTTCCACAAAGCCCAGACATTGTCAATATCATAGGGCTAAGTTTTATGTGGTGTTGTTAATGATGACACTTCAATCAGCAAAAGCCAAAACATAAAAATATCCAAAGCAGCCCATTTAGCTTCCTTCATTAAAAAAAAAAAAAAGAAGAAAGAAAGAAAAAAGTGTGAACTAAAAAGTAGCAACATATCTGAACTACACCTGGAAAAGCAGCAGCACAGAGATTTAAGAAAGCTAAAGTTGTGCTTCCAAGAGTTACTGGTGCTGCATGAAAGAAGTTCCATGACCCCAAAATCTCATTTAATTGTACTTTGAATGCTACCTTAGAGGACTGTCAGCACCACTGCAGTCTGGAGTACTGACTCATTTTACAGAGAAAGTAACTTCAAAACTAAACAAAACCTGATGCAAGACCTTGATGAGACAGGAAGCATAATAAAGAGGGAACCTTGAGGAGATTCCTGTTCATGTAGCAAAAGAAAGGTCCAGTCTGGCCTTATGTCAGTCTCCTATTTACTAATGTGGAGGATGGAGTGATCACCTTGGTGTGGCTATAGAGACAGGTGTGTGTATTATACAAGAAGGTGTGGGGGTGTGTGTAAATGCAAAATATGCATCTTTCTTCCAGGAAAAACAACTTTAGCAGGTAACCTAATCAGATAAATTTGACTTCTGGGCAACTTTCCATGGGTCTGTCATTTGAATGTTCATCCCACTGTTCTGAACAGCTCTCTTTCATCCACAAGATCATGAGCTCAGTGCTGGAAACACTGAGGAAAATTCTATTGACAGTGCAATTCAGGAGATTGGATTATACAACAATATTGGTCCCTCTTGCTTTAAACTTACAAAGAACGAAGAGCATAATTTTGGTGTCTTGTCTCTTTAATTTCCTATTGCAAGCTGCAATATGAAGCTTCTCTTTGAGAGGTTTATGAAATTCTTTCCAAAGCCATTTTTCTTTTTGTCTACATCCCTTCCTCAAAGTTAAAAAGCCATATCTAAAATTAAAAATGTTGTCTGACGTATGGGTCTCACAAAAACATATTTTGGAAGTCAAAATCTGAAAAGACACATTTAACTGTGCAGCCACTCAATCCAAGATGAATCAAAAGTCCCTAAACTTAATTCTTTTCATAATGAAACATTTTTTAGAAATTTTAGTTGTAGAACCCTGTTAAAAACCCCTGAGTTTTAACATTTTTGGCCATAAGATTTCATTTTTTCACTTGAAGGTGAAGAGAAAGGGGGCAGTTACTTTATAAGGAAAAGTTCTAAATACTGAATAAAGGCAGAAATTTGCAGAAGGACAAATTTTTTTTGTATTTTCAATTACTTTAAGCCATGAGTAGCAGATAAAAAACAGAACAGTTTTTTCCATATAGACCTCAATATTTGCAGCTGTTATGAGCTAGTTAGAATGCAATTCATCTGCCCTTCAAAAATAAAGAAATGTGCCCAAAGATAGAAGAACCTCTCCTAAACTTCCAGCTAAGGTGCATCCATATCTCAGGGGCCAAATTATAGGAGGAAAGAAGACAACAAATGGGAATGGAAGCTAATGCAGCCTTCATAAAATAAACAACCAGATGTTCTAAAGAGCACTACAGGGGGGGAAAGCACTGCCACAGTGAGACCAAAGACCAAAGACCAAAGACCTCTCCACAGGTCTTTGGAGAGTGACTTCTCCCCTAAATGGAGTGTAATGCTGTCCACTAATGGAAAAGTATGTGTTAATGCCTGAAAATCCCCCAAAGGGTGCAAAGCAAGAGGTTTGGGTGTCTCACAGTTTGACATTGGCAAATGAGCAGAATTTAGAGCAACCGGGTCCCTTGGTTTTAGCATATCCTTAGCACTGTTCAAAGGATGCTTACACTGGTTTCATACAATGTTTCTTTGGAAAACACACTACTGTTTTACTAATTCATGAAGTAAACAAGTACTTCATATATTTCATAGTCAGTGATTTTAGGTGCAATGCAAAAATTACTCAGCAAAATTCTTCGGCCCATGTTTTGAGACAGCTCAGGTGTAAGATCATTTTATCATGTCAAAGAAACCCAAATAGCCCTTAAATGTTTCCTTCTTACCTTCCTAACTGGGAGCTGAGAAGATTAGATATTTAATACACAATTGTCATCTAATTCAAAGAAGAAACAACTTGTCCCATTCAATTTGGATCCTCCAGAATTCAGAAGGTGTGCATGCCAGCCAAATTCTGGACCATGCGACATAGAGGTGCAAATGTTTCTCAGGTGCCCAATAAATTAATGAAAATATTCCCACTGATTTTGATAATGGAGGTCCAAGCCTTCTGTGGAAAGTCTCAGGGAACCCTTATTTCCAAGATCAGGACAGTTCCTTCACAAGACTTCATTAACAGCTTTTGTAGTCAGGTAGCACATACTAAAGTTAGAGAAGTATGACAAGGCCTGTATAACCATCTTTCCCATTCAGGAAAACGTGGAATAGCATTTGGGAATTTATTGTAAAGAATTATGTTTCACATGTATTACAAGTTACACATGGAGCTACAATTTGGACTAGTTCCAGCTTGTCAATTTTCTTTAGCAGTCCTACTTTTTCAGCAGTCAGAGTATTAATGTTCAAAAGAATCCTTATTTCTTTGTATAATTACAGAGGTCTTACTAGAAGAATAAGGACACACAGAGAATGCCTATTTTTATACATGTAAATGCATATATTTAACATAGACTACTCTCTGGAGATTCTTGGTGAGGTTGTCTGTAACAGAAAGCACAGAATGAATTCTCCTGTAATATTAAACACACAGTTTTCATAAGCAGGTGGAGCCTTATTCCAGTCTCCAACAAAATGGAATATTCCCTTAGTTTCAGATGCATATTCAGTAAAATATCTAAATCCTTTCACTGCTGTTCTGCCACTGTCTGCAGGGTTGAATAACACCATCAGACATCCTGTGTCCTCCCAAGATAAGAGTTTTCTTCCACAGCATTTTACTTCAGGAGGCACCCCTCTCCCAGTGAAAAGTGGCTGGGAAGAAAATACTGACAGCAAACTTCTTTCTTCCCCTAGGGAACCCAAAATAAAACTGCTGTGCATCACAAAGATACCCTTGGAGCACTTCAGCATCTGGATCACAAAAGTCCATCTTGAGGAAAGCCTGACTTTCAAAGCCATGTAACAGCTAACAGGGAATTTATTGGTTCATGATTTAATTCATTAAGCTGGCCTACTAATTATTTCTCCATCTGGCTTCGCACCAGTATTATTTATGTAACAGCCATCTCTCTTCACTAGTCATATATAAATAAGCGCCTTAAATCTAGATTAATTATTCCAGTAAAATTTTGCATTTTTTAAATTACTGATCTTGATTAATAAAATGGAGACATTATAATAAAATACAAACTGTTGATGATCCTTTGAATTTTTTTTATACAAATTAGTATTAGAACATGCACTGGGAGAGTTACACATTTAACTTGAGGAGAGGTGGAAAAAGCATCATAAGTTGAGACTCATGTTTATGCTCAAAGAGCACTGCAGATGGCAGGTCTCTGAGGTCCCATAATCATCATCAGAGTGTATTCAAAACAAAATGAACACAAAAAGCCCAAATAAACCACATATTGACAATCTGAATTTGTCACCTTTTTATTCTGCTGGCTGAACAAATGGCTTTACCAGCAGCTTCAACTTAGAAGAAAAATGTTATTTTTCCATAAACTTGTTTTCTCCTCCCATGAGAATGTAGGAAGGAAATCTAATAAAATCTAAAAAACCCAAAAAACAACACCCCACAAAAAAACACAAACCAAACAAACCCCAAGTCCAAAAACCTAACAAAACCCCTGCATCTACTATTCTTCCTTCCACTAAATTACACTTTGATCTATGGCTAGCTATATATTTATCTTTCTATGAAGAAAGAAAATAAAACAATAAATGAACAGAGAGAGTTGGAGTTTTGGGCATAACACAACTGTCTGGTTTTCCCTTTGCACAACTCCATGGTCCTCTAAGTGTGAATCTGATTTTCAGTCTGAAACATTGTCCACTTGGAAAACCCAGAGATCCTTCCTGCCTCCAGCACTTTACTCATAGCTAGAGAGAGAGAGATGCTTGGCTCCAAGGCTTTCAGCTTTCCCTCAGATTTGCTCTTCCTGCTGGTCCTGTCATCACAGCTGCTCTGCCAGTCAGAAAATGCTACAACAGCATCTCAGCACACGAGAACGTGTTTGCTCCCAGCTGGTGTGCCAGCACCTGCACAGCTCTCACCACATGCTTGCTGCAGTGCATTTAATGCCAAATTCCATAAATCCTAAAAGCTGTAACATCCCAAGCACAGTTCAGACAACTACAGAAACTGTAATCACGACAGCAAAGAAGGTAAAGAGAGAAAATCTTCAATACTCCAGCTATCTCTACATTACAGTTTTCTTACCCTTGTAGTCCACTGGCTTTGCATTCTTTAGAAGTTCCATGCACCTGGTTTCTTCCTTGTGAATCTCCAGCTGAAATCTGCATTCTGGATGGACACCATTCACCTGTGTCAAATTAACAAATGGGTTATGGGTCTTGAAGCTAGAATGAAAATGCTTCATGAAGCATGCAACTACCAATAACAAAACCAACAACTTTAACTGGCACAGGTTTAACCCGAGCACGTGCTGGACACACTCAATGCCCATTTTAGCTTCTCACACATTGACTTCTCAGAACAAAATGTTGAAATACTCTACTGACTTCTTCCTGTAGCATTCATTTAGCTTTCTAGTGCATTCCTCAATATTGAGCCAAAAGATCTTTTCCTCCAGAAAAACTCTGACCTGAAACTGAAGGAGAGTAGATACATTTGCTCTTTTCCCCTTGTGTAGTAAGTTAGGGAGCTGAAAGTTTAATACAAATCTCAGAAAGTGAAAATTGATCAAACTTCATTCTCTTTGACACGGTAAATTCTGCTTTTCTTCCCTTTTCCACCATGTATATTTTATGTCCTGAAGGCCCCAGACCATGATTATTTGATTCAAGCAAATGCTACACAGGAAGAAAACCCCACTACTTAAAAATTAAAGCACTAATGCCTTCACTGGTTCAAAGCCCTGCCCTCAGTTCTTTGGTTTTCAGAAAAGTTTATGTATGTCCACAGGAAGAGACAGGAATGCAGGAGCAGTGGAGAGAGAAACAAAACCCTGGAAAGTTGTGCTGGGGTCAGCTCAGAGAGGCAGTCAGAGCTCACAGAGAAATACATGGAGTCTGAAAGAGACTGCATGGGAGAAATTACCGCAGGAGGTGGCAAATGGAAAAGCTGGAAATGTCAGTGGAGTCGATGGGATAGTTTGATTAGCTCAAATTAAATCACATCTTAAATAAATAAAATGGGAATATGCTGTACTCCAGTCATCCTCACACCTCACGCTTGTAATTACCAAGAAAAAGGTGGTGTCTCTCCAAGTTTCTGTCTTTTCTTTCACAACTTTTAGGAGACATTTAATAACAGAATCTGGTAATGATCTCTGATGTATGACACAGCAATTTAAAAAAAATGTTAATAATTAATTAAGTTATGATTCTGGGCTCAGAACCTCAGATCCAGAGTTAGGACTGAGAACCTGGTGATGCTGCACTCTTTGTGGACAAACCACTTGCACACCTTTTAAACATACAGTGCAAGAGCCATAAGCATAACAGCAGGGACTGTTATGAAAACTCACAAAAATCTGTCTCTTCTCCAAATGTCTCATTTCACTGTCTGCAACATCAGAACCTGACTTCCTTTTCCACATCTCTTCTCTATGTTGAATATTGAAATTATACATTTCAAAGGCAGAATTCTTTTCCTTTCAGAGACACATATTTAACATAAATTAGGATTTCTAGAATTTATAATTGAAAGTTCAGCATTATACTGAAAATACCTACATTTTGATGTGTATAATCTTTTTTGCAGATAGCAGCCATGTAAAATAAAAGTCCCATGTATACATAATGTTTTTAATAATGCTTTCCTTTCACAAAACTTATTTTTGGCTATTTTTCATTTCCAAGTGCTAACATTCTGTAACTTGACAGTGGATTTCCTACTCATCAAGAAGTATTACAATTACTGGGTCTTGGAAAGGAAGGTTCAGTAAATAAAAATGATAAATAAATGAAAAATAAGTCAAAGTAGCTACTGCAATTAAGAAGCCTGCTGAATAAACAACTTCTCTTTCTGGTACTTCTGAAATATCAGTGGTTAATAGTAAAGTTTTGTTAAAAATTTGTTATTACCCAAAGGTAGCATATTACTTTTCACAGCTGTACTACAAGCTAAACTGCACTGTGCTATGTTCTAATACATCCAGTTCATCCAGATGGACTTCACAAAGCTAAAGAGATTTAGGGTTCCAGACTATGTGGCTCTGACTACCTCCTGAAACACATCAAGACTTTGAGGGCACTCACCACTTTTTAGGACTTGTGCTCATCCATATTTTCCTCTGCTTAACAACAGTAGGTTATCCTTAGTCACCAATGAATACAGAACTGCCTGTAAAGGTGCACACAGAGCTGGAAATCCAGCTCGGGAGTATCCCTGCACATTGAGCAGCTTAACAATTTCTAAAGCATCTAAACCAGCAATTTGATGGACATTTCCTCTGACAAGCAGCTTGCACTCACCTTCAGTATGGATCCCAAGTTTTGGTGTTATACAGTAACAAAAAATTTAAAAGGATTTAAATAATTTATTTTTGTGAATCGTATTTCCATCAATGTAACTGACTTTTACAAACTACTTAAGAAACGCTTGAAAATATAAAGACGTCGAAAGCAGGCACCCTAAAGAAGACTTCAATATTCTGACTACTTTATACATCGCAATGCCACTGTACATATCACAGAGCAGCTGTGGATGTGGGGCTTTTCCCCTCATGATGACGGCCAGTGGCTTCTGGACCGCTCCCGGGCAGCGCTCTGTGAAAACTCTCCGCAAACCAGCGGTGTCCACCGGCTGTGGGGAAAACTGCGCAGCTCGAGTGGCGGCTCCGCGGGGATGGGACCGTGCCGGGGGAGCGGAGCCGTGCCGGGGGAGCGGAGCCGTCCCGGGGATGGGACCGTGCCCGGCGGAGCGGAGCCGTTCCGGGGATGCGGAGCCGTGCCGGGGATGGGGCAGAAGGGCCGGGGGAGCGCCCGGGGGTCCGGGCGGGGGCTGCGCCCGCTCCCCTCGCGTTCTCCTCCCGGGGACGGCCCGAGCCAGCGGCGAGAGGCAGCGCTGTCCCGCACCTGCCGCGCCGAGCCCCCGCCCCGCTCCGGGACAGCCCGGCGGGCTCCTCTCCGGCTCCTCAGGTGAGCGCGGCGCGCCCAGCCCGGCCGGGCCCGGAGCGCTGCCTTGGGCGGGCTGACACTTACCGGCGCCAGGCTCCAGCAGAGCGAGAGCAGCACGATCGGCACGGTCCTCATGCCCGCCCAGTGCCCGTCCCAAGGCGCTCGGCGGGCCCCGTTGGAAGGCGGGCAGCGGGCTCCGGGTCCCGCCCGGCACCATAGGGCCCGGGGCCGCTGCCGGCTCCCCCGCACCTGCCCCGCTGCGGCGCCTCCGCTGCCGGCCCGACCGCGGCCGTGCCCGCCGCCGCTGTGCGCGGAGCTCCTCCTCTAGCCCCCGGCTCCTGCCCGCCCGCCCGTGTCTCCCCTGCCCCTCTCCTCGCCTTCCTTTTCTCCTCCTCCCTCTCGCTGCCGCCGCCGCTCCCCCCATAAGAGCTGCGAGTCGCTGCCGGAGCCGGGACCCCCCGCCCATCGCTGCGCCCCGCAGGTGCCGCCGCCACCCCCGGGCTGCTCCGGGCGCTGGATGCTGCTCACCTCCCCCAGGTGCCGGAGAACCTCCTCTTCCCCTGCTACACCCCCGGGGAGCTGGGTGCCCGTCCCGGCAGCGCATCCGTGCCCGCACCGGGCTGCCTTTTGCCGGTGAAACCAGTAAGGTCATCGAGCACAGACCCCTCAAGCCAGGCACGCATGCAAAACGTTGAGGGGTGAGTGAAGCGGTCCCTGGCAGGGTCCGTTTTACCACTGTATTACTAAATCTTTCGTGCCCACAACTCCTTTTTTTTTTTTCGCGTTCTCAATAGAGAACCAAGAGTTTAAGGCAACTCCATATATTCCCTGGCAGTTTACTCCAGGCATGGATCTGGGTTTTGCCTCACAAGGCATAGAAAGTACACAGTTAAGTGACATGTTAGCACATGCCTTGTGTTACAGAAAAAGAAGCGTTTATATATTGGCTTTTAGCTGAGAATGGGAATATATTACAGTTGTCTTTCCATTGAATTAATATGTGTTGTAATGTAAGTATTATGTACTAAAAGGGGCTGAGGAGGCAGCATAAAACTCTCCTAAAGAGTCCCCCCAAAAAACAGCTACAAGCAAAGCAAGGACACTTCTATGAGAAAAGCTAAAGAGAATTTTAATTTTTTAATGTGTATGATAAAATTATTTTCATATATTAAGGATAAATACCTGATTACAACATCTTTGGTATCATAAAAAAGAAATAGTACAAACTAATATTATAACCTACCTGCTGAGAGCAAAGGGAAACACTAATGTAGAAAGAAAACTTGTAGGATGGTATATTGTCAGGTAATGAAAATATTCTCATTGTAGCAGAAAAGAATACCTCTTTGGATTGACTTTGGTCTGTATGTGACAGGTGGATTGAAGGGCCAGATTGCATCTACTGACACAGCTGGTTTGCAGAGAAGGCTGGTTATGCCATTTGCTCTAAGATTCCCCGGCAAGCTCTCAGGTTAAAACTCCTGGACACAGAGAATTGCACAGTGCAGCCCCTCTGATTCCTGAGACCAGTGTCTGAGATTCCTCCTCAGGCTCTTGGTTGACACAGGCATTCTGGATCAATTTCTTAAGACCTATCAGTCTTTCTAAAATAACAACCTCAAAACCATTTCTTTTATCATTCATTTATCTGATCATTACTGCAAGGCTTTGGAAAATCCCTCCAGTCTTCTCTCTTCAGAAGTTCTTTCTGCCATTTGTGATGACTGGCATCCCGCTAAGAGAGCAGTCGTTCTCATGAGTGGAATTAATACATGCCAGGGCTCATCAGGTTCACCAGCAATAAACCCCAGGGCAGTGGCTGTGCAGAGGAGCCACCAGGCAGGCTGTGCCCCAGCTGGGCTGCCCCAGCAGCTGAGGACACAGGAGCTGCCAGACACCAAACCCCAGTGTTTAATTCTTCGAGCAAATAATTCATTAGGCTGCTGAAACTGAGTAGTCTGGGAAACCAATTAACAAATTACTGTTAACGTTCTGTGTAGAAACAGTCTTGGGAACTGTCATCATTATTCCTTCTGTAGAATGATGGAAACTAATATCTCAAATATTAATAGTCCACATATCCTAGAACTAGCAAAGAAATTATGAAACTTACATCTGTTCTATCAGAAGATTGCACACAGTCAGATTTTTGTGATCTTTTGTTTTCAATGAATCAACATTTTTAGGTGAAAAGAAATACCATCAGTTATTTCTCAATGCTTTCCTCTGTTGCTATTCCCAGTGACTCTTTGACATGAAAGAAACAGCAGATGAAGGAGATGCATCAAATACTAATGTTTTCGTTTATATATAGCTAAGGGGTTTTTTTCCCCTAAGAAGAAAACAAATTCTTGATGGATGAAGTCCAGCAATCATGGTTCAAGTTCTTTTCACTTAAACATATCATGATTCTGTGCTCTGTTACAGTGGATGTAGAGGGGAAATAAAGAACAAGAATGAAATTAGAACAGCTGTTGATATATACAGGTAAATACAAATGAGACTGATAATCTTAGTCATCAAATAACAGATAGGTTTATGAAAGAACAAAGGAGTCATATAAATTTAGACAGAGTTGATTTGATGGCATTTCTGAGAAGGGACTGTCAAATTAAAAGGAAAAATTTTATGGAGGTATCCATGAGGCACAGGACTGCAAACATACAGAGAGAATGGTGTCCAAACATGGACAGACATAGAAGTGTCTATCACAATAGAGGTGGTAGAGAAGTAAATGCATTTTGACTGCAATAAATAGTATTTTGGATTAGCTGAGCCTGGGTGTTCCTCAGAGGGCAGTAAAAGTGGAAATAGAAAGTTCACAGTGGCAGGCAGTGCCAAGGTACGGCAAGTTCTCTGCTCTCACAACACATCCAGGACCCAAAAGCTTTTCCTCAGTTCCAGTTGTTGGAAGAGTCTGCCTGCTGAGGAAAGGTGCATGCCAGTAGAGCTATAAGTAACAATTACTTGCTGCCTGGCCGTCTGCCTCTTTGGAATCCTCTAATACAGTGCTGGCAGTAAGTGGCTGATTTAGAGTTTCCATACTGAAGTAATGACACCAATCCTCTTTGAGCTCAAGTCTTATATAAATTGTTGATGAAGTTCAAGATGCTTTGAAAATTTATATTTTACCCCAAAATCTTCTTTGTGTTCTGTGTATAAAGCCTCCAGATCCACAGCTTTCATTGTTTAAAAGGACTTTTCTTTTGTTTAATCATCTAACAATTATTGCTTACATAATGCATAACATAAAATTGCCAGAAATACCTAAGCTGCGTGAAAAGTTTTGAAGGGTTTCCCTCAAAGCATGTGTGCAAGCCATCCTGAACAACGTGCCTCTTGCAAGCCTGTCTGTCTCTCGAGCTGCTCAAGCTGTTTCATGTGCTTTGAGCCCTGCTTTCCAGACCACAGAGAATTTATGTGGAATGCTGTACTAAGTCCTTTGCTCTTCCTAGGTGTTCACGCTCTTCAAACACACTAGGTCTTCATCAGATATTCCAAAATCTCCCAAAGGCACTCTCTACTGTCATCCTGCATTTTGTTAGGTTGTTTGTTTGGGTTTTTTTTTTCCTGCAGCCCAAATATTTAAGCAAAGTTTCCATCAAGCCTTGGAAATAGATTTTAGAAAGGGTTTCCAGGAAAGAAAGACTGTAACTAAGTGCAGTTTATATCGTTTAAACTTGAGAAAATTAAAATTCTGTAAAATTTTAGCACCAGTAGCTATTAACACACTTGATCTCACTAAGCCTCTCTCCATGATCAGATAGAATATAACAAAGAAGGCTCCAGGTCTGAGTGAGGCAAACAGTATATGTCCTGCTCATGAGTTGGGATTTCAGACCTTGGGCACACTCTGGGGGACGTGGCTGCAGCCCCATCCTTTGAGAAGCAGCACAGTGATGCTACTGTCCAACTCTCCAGCACCAAATACTGTAGCTGCAGTAAGAGGAGAAAATGAAATTCAGGTTCTCTGTGTTTTATCTGAAGATCCAGATGGTCCAGGAGTTCTAAAATTTTATCACCTTTACTGATCATATTATGTCCCCATAATCTCTTGAACCCTCTGTTGTTTTCTAGGCAGAGAAGCAACGCCACACAGCCAGAGAGTTTTCTAAGGAAAGGCTGTCCTCAATTGTGTCACCTCAGCTTTTTCATTCTCCTCCCTCTGAGCATCCCCAACAGTATCCTGCTGTGTCTGGCCATGAAGAAAACCTTTATGATGTAGCTGAGGGTGCATCTTCTAGTGGTGAGGCACAAACTGCTTCACAAAACACTTTTTGGCAGTGGTCTGTGCAGTGGCAGATGCCAATATCAGTGCACCGACTCCATCCCAACACAGAGGTTCCCAACCAGTGACAGTGATTGAGGCAATCTGAAATTCACTGAAATTTCACTGAAATTCAGTGAAAAAAAGCCCTTTCCTGTCTGGTTTGTTAAGTTTGGACTGCTGAATAGCTTGTTTCAAGTGATATCTGTAACTGTGAAATCCTCTGTCAGAAAATGGCACAGGGTCTCTTTTCACTGAAGACACAGAATGTAGTCTACAGTACTTTGTGTAAAGTATGCAATTTTGTTCTTGCTCTCTTTCAAATTTAGAAGACTTCCATGTAATTTCAAAAGAGTGAGAGAGATCCCTTTAGTATAATGAACTCTTTCAATGTCTTGGTCAGGGTATCCAATTTTTCTGATTTCCATTATCCTCAGATCCTTATTATACTCATTAAACTAATAGGCATTCAGTTACATTCACATGTGTAGGTGAAGTAGAATTTGATCTTTTAAATTTATAAGTTAAATTTAAAATAAAGAAGTAGGGTATTTGGCATAATGGAAAGTACTTGGCTAATGCAAATTTAACTGTTATTTGTTTCAAAGCTCCAGATTTGGTCAGTGCTTTTTTTTTTGAGAGTTTACTGGACATGAAAACATCAAATCTTCTGAAGCATGAGAAGAAAATTCTCCCATTTAATTTTAGGGGTTTTGTAATGATTAGTTAGTATGTTTGGTTTTATTACTAATTTTTTACAATTTAAAGTAAAGGGTAGATCTTCCCCAAAAAATCCTAAAGACAAAACAAAAAAACTACAGAAAAAAATTAACTGATGAAGTGATATAAAAGGCTTTAGAACGATAGACAAGAGTAAGTGCAGAAGGGAAAACAAATGAAAAATAAAATAAAATGCAAGTAGTGTTTATCAAAGAGAGTTAGTACTAGCATGAGATGGTACTTTACTGGAAAAAAGTGAGAAAATATCT